GCCCTAGGGGGCAGTGCACTTGTGGCAATAACCTCTGTTGCGGCATTTGCATTGAGGATTTATTTCTTCCTGGTAAGAAAGCCCTAAATATTCAGAATGATATGACTACCTTCTATTGAGCACATTCTCTGTACTGGAGCACAGTGTTAATTGCTGTGTCTACATAATTTTACTTTATTTCTCCAAACCGTCTCTATATCTGTGAGGCCAATTGTTTTATCTGTGTTTAAGAAAGAAGAGACAAAAGCTTTGGAGTGTTAACTTGCCTAAATTCATAGTAGTTAGAGCCAGAACTTGAACACGAGCCTGCTTAACTTCAAATCGTTTCCAGGGATTTGGGGAATATTTCCAACAGTTTATTGTTTAGTTTCTCATTTAACAGGTTTTTTTGAGACAGAGTCTCACTCTGTTGCCCAGGCTAGAGTGCTATGGCGTCAGCCTAGCTCACAGCAACCTCAAACTCCTGGGCTCAAGCGATCCTCCTGCCTCAGCCTCCCCAGTAGCTGGGACTGCAGGCATGCGCCACCATGCCCGGCTAATTTTTTCTATATATTTTAGTTGTCCAATTAATTTCTTTCTATTTTTTAGTCAAGACGGGGTCTCGCTCTTGCTCAGGCTGGTCTTGAACTCCTGACTTTGAGCGATCCTCCTGCTTCGACCTCCCAGAGTGCTAGGATTACAGGCGTGAGCCACCACGCCTGGCCATTTAACAGTTTTAATTAAGGAAGTAATCACTCCCCTCAGCAAATGGATTGGATTACTAATTCAAGAAATATTAAGTCCTTTCTATGTGGACGATACTAGGTGATAGAAATCTAGTAGATATAAGACATCTACACATGAATTTTTAGGTAATTTTACAAGCAGAAGATGACTGGTGCCAGAGGAACTGACATACTTTAAATTGTTTTATAGTTGAGAGTAACAGTCTGAAGGTGGTGATGGTGAGCTAGCATTATCATGGGTGGCCTCAGAAAGCATGCTGCACTGAAGCTGGATCTTGAAGCAATGGGTTTAGACAGAGGGCATGCCTGATGAAGGGCTCAGATGAGCAACATTTGCCTGCTAAGAAATAAGACTGCTCCATGTTGAGCTGTTCCATGTTGTAGAAAAGTGGAAGTTGGAAAAGTTGCGGCCAGACGTTCAGAGACCTCTAGGATTTCTTCTTTATAATTTAGCTTTTGTGAACAAATAAATAATCATATATTTTAAAATAAATTTACAAAAAGGGATAAAGGAAAAAATCCATCCCCTCACATAAATAACTACTATTAGTAATTTTTCTCTATATCCTTTTAGGTTTTTCTTTATAATAGACAAACAATTATAAACATATTCTTTTTTTTTTTTTTGAGACAGAGTCTCACTTTGTTGCCCAGGCTAGAGTGAGTGCTGTGGCATCAGCCTAGCTCAGAGCAACCTCAATCTCCTGGGCTCAAGCAATCCTGCCTCAGCCTCCTGAGTAGCTGGGACTACAGGCATGCGCCACCATGCCTGGCTAATTTTTTCTATATATATATTAGTTGGCCAATTAATTTCTTTCTATTTAAAGTAGAGACAGGGTCTCACTCTTGCTCAGGCTGGTTTCTTTTGAACTCCTGACCTCAAGCAATCTGCCCTCCTCAAGCCTCCCAGAGTGCTAGGATAAACATATTCTTATTTTCCATCTTTATTAAAAGGTAGCACATGGCCTGTAAACATTTCAAACAGTAATAATTTACTTTATATGTATCTATCTTATTATTTAAAATGATTGTGTTTATTTATTTAAATATAATAGTGTTTCCCAGGGTGGTTTTACTGAACAAACATCAAGCATTGAGGTCCAGACTCAGGACAGTAACCGTGAGAGGTGGGCTCACGCAGAGTCCATTTTTTATGCATGGATCTAAAGAGCACAGGTGTAGGTTGGTGCTCCTTTTCAGTGCTACCCTCGCAGCTTGTGTGCACCACTCCCTGGCTTTCTTCATGGCTTTACAATTGCCTGTGTGTGTGTCTGCCTCATGCACTTGATTGTGAGTTCTTTGAGGCAAGGACTATTGAGCTCATTTATCTTCGTATCAACATCTAATATAACGTCTGGCAAATACAAGATATTAAATGAATGTTCAAATGGTTTAATGGAGAAAAAAGATTTGTTGAATGAACGCGAATAACAAGCATAAGGAATGACTTGAACAACTTAGCTGATCCCTAGCGTGTCAGAATGTAAGGAAAAGGAAAGCTATTTATTCTATCTGGTGACGTAGTTTGATAAAACACTGTGGAGATGTGTTAAGAAAGATCAGGCCCCAGCTCAGGCAACATAGCAAGACGCCGTCTCTACAAAATATAGAAAAATCAACTAGGTGTGGTGGCACATGCCTGTAGTCCCAGCTACTTGGGAGACCAAAGCAGGAGGATCACTTGAGCCTAGGGGTTCAAGGCTGCAGAGAGCGATGATCATACCACTGTACTCCAGCCTGGGTGACAGAGTGAGGCCCTGTCTCTAAAACAAAACAAAACAACAAAAACAAAAAGATCAGGCAGTAGAGCAGGGGAGAATGGTGAAGATATTGGGGGAGGGGCAGAGGAGAAAAATGAAGCAAGTTCTCCGTGCACCCAAAGGGAGTTGGGCCATGGGGAATAGTGGCCTGAACAGGAAGTAAGGGCAGGAAAATAACTGTATGTAGGGAGCTAGATTAGCAAATTGAGATCATGGCTGAAGTGCTCAAATTATTATTTTTTTAATAGAGAAAATTGAGGAAAGCGTGGTTGAGTGAAGAGGCCCGAGTGGCAATGTTTGAAATAGTTGTAGTGACTGAGAGGAAAGCTGATTGAAAAGTAACAGCTGCGTTATAGCCCTTCTGGAATAAGGCCAATTATAACTTAAATAAAATTAAAAGCAATGCCGAGAGTCCATTGAAGGCTGGAGATTATGTGGTTGTAATTCTTTTTTTTTTTTTAAATTTCAGAATATTATGGGAGTACAAATGTTTAAGTTACATGAATTATTTTTGTATAGTTTGAGTCAAAGTTGTAAGTGTGTCCATCACCCAGATAGTGTGTATTGTACCCGTTAGGTATGAATTTACCCGTCCCCTTGTCCCCACTCTAACTTGCCTGATTTCCATTGAATTTTACTACCATGTGCACATGAGTGTGGATCATTTGGTTCCAATTTAATAGTGAGTACCTGTGATGTTTGTTTTTCCATTCTTACAATACTTCACTAAGGAGGCTGGTCTCTAGTTCCATCCAGGTTGTTACAAAAGGTATTGGTTTACCTTTTTTTAATGGCTAATAAATACTCCATGGTATACATATACCACATTTTATTAATCCACTAGTGTATTGAGGGGCACTTGGGTTGTTTCTACATATTTGTGATTGTGAATTGTGCTGCTATAAACATTTGAGTGCATGTCTCTTTTTTAGAAAATGTCTTTTTTTCCTTTGGTAAAAACCCAGTAGTGGGATTGCTGGATTGAATGGTAGGTCTACTTTTAGTTCTTTGAGGTATCTCCATACTACTTTCCATAGAGGTTGAACTAGTTTGCAGTTTCACAAAGGGTGTGTACGTGTTCCTCTGCATACACACCAGCGTCTGTTCTTTTGGGACTTTTGGATAAAGGCCATTCTCACTGGAGTTAGGTGATATCTTATTGTGGTTTTGATTTGCATTTCTCTAATGATTAGATATGTTGAGCATTTTTTCATGTTTACTAGCTATTAGTCTTTTCTTCTCCTCCTCCTCCTCCTCTCCTTCTCCTCCTCCTCATTTTTTCATGTTTATTAGCTATTAGTCTTTTCTTCTCCTCCTCCCCTACCCCTCCTATTTTTTTTTTTTTTTGAGACAGAGTCTCACTCTGTTGCCTGGGCTAGAGTGAGTGCCGTGGCATCAGCCTAGCTCACAGCAACCTCACATTCCCCGGCTCAAGCAATCCTTCTGCATCAGTCTCCTGAATAGCTGGGACTACAGGCATGTACCACCATGCCCGACTAATTTTCTCTCTATATATTTAGTTGTCCAATTAATTTCTTTCTATTTTTAGTAGAGATGGGGGTCTCACTCTTGCTCAGGCTGGTTTCGAACTCCTGACCTTGACAATCCTCCTGCCCGGCTCCAGAGTGCTAGGATTACAGGCGTGAGCCACCGCACCTGGTCAGGTTCTTTTCTTTGACTGACTTCTTTAACTCAAAAGTGTCTTCAAGCCGGGTGCGGTGGCTCACGCCTGTAATCCTAGCACTCTGGGAAGCTGAGGCGGGCGGATTGCTCGAAAAAATCAAACAGAACTTCTGAAAATGAAAAATTCATTCAAAGAAATACAAAACACAGTAGAAAGCTTTAAGAATACTCTAGATCAGGCAGAAGAAAGAATCTCAGAGCTTGGCTGGGCGTGGTGGCTCACGCCTGTAATCCTAGCTCTCTGGGAGGCCGAGGTGGGCGGATCGTTTGAGCTCAGGAGTTTGAAACCAACCTGAGCAAGAGCGAGACCCCCTCTACTATAATAAAAGAAATTAATTGGCCACTAAATATATATAGAAAAAATTAGCCGGCATGGTGGGCATGCCTGTAGTCCCAGCTACTCGGAGGCTGAGGCAGAAGGATCGCTTGAGGCCAGGAGTTTGAGGTTGCTGTGAGCTAGGCTGACGTCACGGCACTCATCTTAGCCTGGTCAACAAGGAGACTCTGTCTCAAAAAAAAAAAAAAAAAAAAGTGTCTTCAAGCTCTGAGATTCTTTCTTCTGCCTGATCTAGAGTATTCTTAAAGCTTTCTACTGTGTTTTGTATTTCTTTGAATGAATTTTTCGTTTTCAGAAGTTCTGTTTGATTTTTTTAATAATTTGCTTTACTTAGTAAATTTTCCATTCATTTCCTGCATTATTTGTGTGGTTTGAGTTTCTATCTTCTCTTGTATTTCATTGAGCTTCCTTATGATCCACATTCAGAATTCTTCATCTGTCATTTAAATCTTTTCATTTTGGTTGGTATCCATTGGTAAGGAGTTTTTGTTTTCTTTTGGGGGTATCCTTTCACTCTGATTTTTCGTTTCCAGAATTCTTTCACTGATTCCTTCTCATCTCGCCTCTCAGTCAAGACCTGGGGAGCTGGCCTGATTTATGGGCCTGTCTCCAGGTGCCTGAAGATCAATCCCTGAATGTGCCAGGGAGAGGAGTGCTGGTTATGAGTTGCCTATGGAGTGTTCTAGCAGGTCTCAGGTTACCTCTGACCTGCTGTCTTCACCTCTTCCCAACAATGTGTAATGAGTTAAGTCCCCAAGTTTACTCTGGTGATGGTAGGTGGTACTTGTGTGAATCAGCCCCACCCTGTTAGCTTGAGTTGGAAGACGCTATGATGGGTTATGTCATTCTTCTTCCTGATGTTCGCTGAAATTTCTGTGATAGAACCAGCTGCCGAGATGTTCTTTTGTGTCCATGGTAGACTCTGGTTCCCCAGGTGGAGTACTTCAAGGTTGTAATTCTTTTATGTTATAATACCATGGGAGGTGCTTTGGCCTACAGACAAAAACAAATCAATATGCCCTCAGGAGCTTTTGTCTAGTGGGAAGAAGGTCATCTGATTCTTCAAAATGTATTTAGGTTCAACATTATCACCTTACTCCTGAAACAATCATATTATAATACCATTAACATTACAATTTAATATGGCTGTCACTGCTTCTAAATATTGTTAAAATATAAAAGTTAAACAATCTTTTAGATACTTTCAATTATGGTTATGCAAAATAATTTTGATATCCAGACACTTTCTTCCCTGAAGCCATGGTACATCAAATGTTGACACTGTTCCAAAAAAGAAGTTATTTTTCTGGATTTCTTAAGGGAAATGTTGTTATAAAAAGTGGGGAGGTTTTGGGGGTTTTCTTTTTTTTGAGATGGAGTCTCGCTCTGTCACCTGGGCTAGAGTGCAGTAGTGTCATCATAGCTCTCTGCAGCCCCAAACTCCTGGGCTCAGGTGATCCTCCTCTCTCAGCCTCCCAAGTAGCTGGGACTACAGGTATGTGCCACCATGCCCCGCTAATTTTTTCTATTTTTAGTAGAGACAGGGTCTCACTCTTGCTTAGGCTGGTCTTGAACTCCTGACCTCAAACAATCCTCCCACCTTGGCCTCCCAGAGTGCTAGGATTACAGGAGTGAGCCACCACACCCAGCAAAAGTATTTTTATCTGTTAAAAAAATAGGCCTTTTCAATCCCTGCAGGTACAAACTTATTTTATTAGGGTACTTAAAGGTAAAATATTTGTTCCAGTTGACCTAAGGATCAAACCAAATCTAAGCAAATTAAAGTCAGTCAGGTGTGGGTTTCCAGAGCTCACATAACACAGGAAACACATGCAAGCAAAAAAAGTACATTTACTTAAACATGGTAACAACCACAACTGGACAGAAAAAAATTACACATCTGTTCAGTTTAAATGAGTTAAAAGTTCCCATAGTTACTTTTCAAAATGTTATGAGAAACATGATGCCTTCCAAGTTGAGGCTTGCAAAATAACTCACCCTTTCTGCATGGTATCTAGTCTCCAAATTGGTAAGGTATATATTTTACAGAGGTTTTTTAGAAACCATTTGGGATTTGACTTTGGAAAGCCAATCTTTAACCTAAAAACACATGAATATTCATTACAAATTTTCTTTTTCATTAATAAATTCCAACTAAAAGGCAGTATTTTTTATAAATCTGTTTTTGATAATATATTCACAGATCATATTATACAAATCTTTTTAATGAAAAATTAGAGTTCATTTCTGAAAATGCATGGAAAAAGCAATTTAAAAAGTCCTCAAAGCCATTACCCTTCCTCTCCTTTTCTATAAAATTCAGCTCTGCCTTATATTCTCATATTCCTTTTAGAAAATCAGTTGTTCATGAATAGGGACTTTTTTCTTTTTTTGTCAAGGAATTCATCCTGAGAACTTCCACAAACATTCAAACAGGTATGTTTATAAGTATTCTTTGAAATATTGTCTGAAATAACATGAAACTGCAACAAACCAAATGTCCTTCAATCAATCTTGGTTAAATATAGTATATCTTTGTGAGGAAATACCATATACCAAGTAAAACAAAGAGGTAAATCTATGACTGGCATGTGAAGATGTCTAATAATGGTTTTAAATGAAAGACAAAACATTGTTGACCAATATGTATAGAATGATCTAATTTTTGTTTTTGTTCCTGTTTTAAAATTATAGTTAAGGGGGTCAATCTGAACCTGTTCTGGTTTGGCGCTGCCTGATTAAAAAATAAATAAAATAAAATTATACTTGAGTATCTTTAGAGACCAGATAGTTTCAATGTTACATAAATTGTTTCAGAACATATGAAATCAGGGAAAACTTTCAAATATTTTTTATGAAGCAAGTATAACATTGATACCCAAATGTGTAAAGAAAGCACTAAAGGAAAATTATGAATACTGATGCAAAAATTCTACAAATATTACCAAATAGACTCTAACACAACATTAAAACAATTCACCACTATCAAGTAGGTCTTATGCCAGGGATGTATGAATGGTTGAACATTGGGAAATATATTAATATCCCTTATCTTATAAATAGATTTAAGGAGAAAGGCCATACGATTATCTCCATAGATGCAGAAAAAGTCTTTTGACAAATTCAACAAACATTCCTTATAAAAACACTTGAGAAAATAGGGTTAGATGAATACTTTGTTAACATTATATATTATAAAAGCCAGCATTTCACTTATGCAGAAATACTAAAGGCATTCCTATTAATGCTGAAAACAAGGCAAGGATGCCTTCTGTCTTCACTGCAGTTTTATAAGTGGTTTTAGTCAATGTAATTGGATAAGAGAATATAATTAGAAGGGTAAGAATTGGCAAAGAAGAATTAAAAGTATGTCTATTTAGGCCGGGTGCAAGTGGCTCACACCTGTAATCCTAGCACTCTGGAAAGGTGAGGGGGGAGGATTGCTTGCTTGAGTTCAGGAGTTTGAGACAGTCTAAGCAAGAGTGAGACTCTGTTTCTACTAAAAATAGAAAAAAAAATTAGCCAGACAACTAAAAACAGAAAAAATTAGCTGGGTGTGGTAGTACATGCCTGTAGTCCCAGCTACTTGGGAGGCTGAGACAGGAGGATTGCTTGAGTCCAGGGGTTTGATGTTACTGTGAGCTAGGCTGACACCACGGCACCCTAGCCCAGGTGACAGAGGGAGACTCTGTTAAAAAAAAAAAAAAAAAAAAAATGTTTCTTTGAAGATGATATGGTAGTGTACCTGGAAAACTTAAGAAAATTACAAAACAAACTGAAACAAAAAAGAATTTGGCCAGATAGCAGAATATAAAATTAACATGCATAATCAAGCCAGGTATGGTGACTCACACCTGTAATCCCAGCACTTTGGGAGGCCAAGGTGGGAATATGGCTTGAGCCCAGGAGTTTGAGACCAGCCTGGGCAATATAGTAAGACCCCGTTTCAACAAAAAATTTTAAAAATTAGCCAGGTGTGGTGATGCGTGCCTATAGTTCCAGCTACTCAGGAGGCTGAGGGAGAAGGAACTCTTGAGCCAAGGAGTGTGAGGTTGCAGTGAGCTATGATGGTGCCACTGAACTCTAGCCTAGGAGGCAGAGCAAGACTCCTATTTCTAAAAAGTAAAAAAATTAGTATGCAAAGTAAAAGCCTTCAGATACATAAATGAGGCCACCTAGACGGTATAATAAAATGGAAAAGAAAATTCCATGTAGAATGGCAACAATAAAGATAAAATACTTAATATACTTAAGAAATGTGAAAAACTTATGTAAAGATAATAACAAAATCACTGGGAAAACACAAAAGTATACTTGAGCAAATGGAAAGGAATCCCATGTTCTTGTATAGGATGTTTTCTCATCAAGATATCAATTCTCCCTAAGTTAATCTAAAAATTTAATAGATCTCAGTAAAAAATAGCACCAAGATTTTTATTCTCCTAGAATTAGAAAAGTTGAAACTAAAGTTCGAGCTCAAGTCAATCTGGAAAGTTGGAAAAAAACTGTGACTTAAACAAGAAAGCTGTATGCTGGCATTCTTCTAACAAATGAACTCACTACTTCATAATCCTATTAAGGTAGTCCTACTTCCTCATTTACAGCCACATAAAATGAGGACTTAGGGTTGTTAAATCATTATCCCCCAAAGAAGATGAAATGCCCAATCTGCATGTGATGTTTATAGTCTGAATAGGTTGGCAACTAACTTAAATTAAAAATAAAATGCAGTTTGGGCAAAATAAAATACATCTTGGGAGTTCACATCTAGGTCACAGGCTGTTAGTTTTTGACTTTTCAGCGTTGACAAACTTTTTCTGTAAAGGGTCAGTTGGTAACTATTTTAGGCTTTGTAGGCTACATGCAATCTCTGTCCCATATTCCTGTTATTTTTACATCATTAACAAAAATAAATAGACAGTAAAAAATAGGCCTTGGATTTAGCCCTCAGGGTAGTAGTTTACTAATCTTGGTTAATAGAAACCAGTAACCTTGAGAATCAACAATGAGTTCTTTGGAAGAAGACAGCCATATTGTCTGACCTCAATCTCTCACAAATAATCTTTTTTTAAAAATCAAATTAGGATAAGTATAAAATAGAAATTCACCACAGTGGGTCATTTCATCAGTGCATTTTCTTCCTGGCATATAAACAATGTCTAGGAAGCATATCCTGAAAGGGAGTTTGTGCATAATTTTGAGACATCATTCCACTACCTGTCACATTTTAACTGCTCTTACAATGGATACCATATTAGTTGAAAAATGTTGTCTAGATATTTTATCCAATCATGTTCTAAAAAACAGTATTACATTTATAATTCAGACTTTTCTGCTCAAGAATTATTATATATTAGGTTGGTGCTTGCTTCTTGGTTGCCAGCTATACTCATTCCCTTTTCTAATCCCTTCAAGAGAATCATGTTTGATAATATTAAAGATAATAGCATCTCTTTCTGAGATAGGCCAAAAACTTTATAATTCCATTAGACTAACGATGTGGCAAATATCACAGGAAGTCATACCCAATTCTTCCTTATGGAGTGCTTTGGTCCTGGCCTAACTTCAGAAGGGACATTTCAGTGATTTGATCTGGCCCTGGACAATTGTGAAATTTACCAGGAGACTGTAAAATCTCTTAAAACTAAGACATATTATTTGTGAAATTTAAGAAATAACTACATGTGACGGAAGTTGATACAATGGATATCAGCTCTTAAATATCTTTTTAAGCTTTGCCATGCATTGAAAAGATACTAGGATTATCAATTATAGCATGACTTACTGAATCAGATTGGGCCCTGGGTAACTTGTAATATGATTCTAGTCTACCCAAGTTGTACTAAATCTCCAGATCAATAAAACCAACCCGAGACTAAGGATTATCTGGAGTTTGGCTAGACCAGTGCCCCTGGGCCTTTTTCTTTTCTTTTTTTGAAATGAGGTCTCACTATGTTGCCTAGGCTGGCCTTGAGCTCCTGGGTTCAAAGATC